TATATATATATATATAATTACCTGAAGGTATTAGCTACCAGGGAGAACTCCCGTTGGTCTACTGATGTAACATCTTTGAAATGGAAGCAGATATTTCAGAAAAAAACAGTTTGATGATTGTATCTTTCCTACAGTTCCCATTTTCATTACCAAAAGTCACACATTTAAATCACTTTAATACCATTCCTGTCACACTGAACTTTATCACAAGAACATGCAGTTCTGTCTTTCCTTTATAGCTCAGAACTGGAATAACAATTTTTAACAGTCTCGTCCCCACCCCAAATGTAAGGATGCAGGAAGGTAACAGCATACCATGTTTTGCCTATGCTTTGTGCTACGGCGTGATGTCATCCTGGCCACCTGACTGTGGAAATATCTCCAGATAACGCTGGCTCCTTGGCTGAAGAAACAGAAATGAGCATCGCCCCCTAAAGTCAGTCATGATAGCAGGGTAAAAACCTGCAGGAAGACCTTTACCTTACCATCTCCATCTCATCCTACCTGGTTCTTTTAGGCAGAGATCAATATTCCTCTACAATGAAAAATAGGCCATATAGTTTAAAACATAGAGGGAGATTCGTTTTCATTGCTTCCTCAATTACACATTTATTATTAAAGGACAGGATGGTATAAAGAAAAACCAGGATTTCCTCTAATAGTTTTAAGAGTATCAAAGGAATCAAAACATTTTTTTCAGGCTATCTTTCTGGTATATTTCCTTTCCAAACTACTATAATATAGAACTCTTGACATTTTCTGCATTTAATTAATTAACCTTTAATATTTCTTTTTGGAGTCAACAATAAAAATTAAGGCATTCAGGTAAGTTGGGTGTGCACCTATCCTGTGAGAATGCAATTATTAACATTACATACCCTTAAAATATAAACCAGAGCTAAACCTGAAATATTTATTTGTTTATCTTATATATAGGCACATTTAAGATCAACACAAAGCACTTAAGGTGAGTGCTAAATATGATCGCTGTCTAATTGATCTCAGGGGAACTTTTCAGATTAGGTATGTTTCTAACTTCTACCTAAGCAACCAAAACAAAATCCTTGCTCAAAACAAGACGGGAGGAGAAAGAAATACTTTATCCAAACCTACTACGCAATTCAGTTCTAAGGTACTTTAGTTAAAAAGCCTTTTCTTTTTCCCCCCACCCATCCATTTCTGCTATTCATTGCCACGGTTGTCTGGTTCTGAAAGTGAAAAGTGTTTGCAATGGTCTGTACATGAATCATATGGCAAGTACAAGCAGAGAGGAATGAGACAGTGAACAGCAACAAGTTTGGGAAAGCTAATTATGGATTTTCAAGACAAGCAGCCCTGAAGTCTTTGCTCGCAGTGCTACACAATTACATAACACATTCAAGATAGAAGACCATGTCACAAAATGTAGGGGTCTCATTGGAATTCAGTTATTAAGATGGTATCTACTCAAACAGTTGTGCTTACCAACCACCAGTGCTACTTCTCATTATCAGTATTTACAGCTCTCTAGACCAAGGGTCCCCAACCCTCAGCCCGCTTGGACCCGGGCCATGCAAGTGGTGGATAAGTGCACGTGCACAACTCCACTTGCCCACTGCTTGCACAAATGGAGCTGCATGCACTCATGCACACACCTGGCACTGACACAGAGCCATCCCCTTCCCTCTGCCACCAGGCTGCCAAACTGTAAAGGTTGGGGACTGTTTCTCTAGATGCAGTCTGAAGTCCCACCCTGGCTGCTGCACACTAGTAAAGTTATCTTTCTAGTCTAGCATACTTGCAAGAGAACAGCAAACATTTCTGTACAAAAATATTTGTCAAGGATCTTTGGATACATCAATTGAGTTTCACAATTTGCAATTCACTGCTGCTTACTGCCTACAACAATATTGGTATCTGAAACTCTAGGATAGAAGAAAATATCACATTTGGCCAAATTGATCCCCTACTGGGTCTTTCTTTGCCAATATTTTATTGTAGTTGTATATAAAATATTCAGCCTAGGTGCCATATAGTAAGATAAAAATATACAGTGCTATTACCAAGGGTGGGTCCATGACACTCAACTTTGCAGAATAGGGACAGCTGCTCTATTTTTAAAATGTATTCTAAAACAATAACAATATATAAAGCATGTATTGAATCTGTGACTGAATCAACAGTCCTCTCCACATTTACTAGGGAGAATGCAGAAACAAGCAGGATCTTGGAATAATAAATATTGTGTGTTTCAAAATTTGATTATCATTTCTGATGTTTTTTTTAAAGCATAGCATAACTCAAAATGTTCCAAATAGAAACCATGTGGTTTCTATTAGGGATAATTGCCTTAGACAACAAATTAAAATGCTCCCGAGTGTTGTCACTTACCAGTAAGTTCTTCATTAACATTTTATTTATACTTAAGAAAGTCACAGCAGCATACAAGATAACTCCATTACACTCTATTTATTTAATGTATATCAATAACTCCAATTATTTATAATTTCAAATATAACTTACATAGATAACTTCAATTAATATTTTAATAAAATCAATCCTTATAGGCAAGGTTGCCATATAGGACTTTGGTCAGAGTTATCTTTGGGTCTCAATGAACAATTCAAACTAGATCAAAAATATCTAGTGTGGGACATGTGGTTTCTTGCATCAAAGCCAATTCAATAGTACATAAAACTCCAAAAATGTTCTGTCTCTAGGAATTTTCCAGATTTTGATAAACAGATCATGTACCATATATTGTCTAATCAGTTCACTGCACAACTCAATTGTGTACTATTTTATGTTATGATAGAATAAGAAATATAATAAAAAAGCAGAAGTCATAAGCACATTTTAGAAAAGATTTAAAGTTTTTACCTGTTTTCAAATTTTAAATGTTTTATTAGTTACCAAAATGTTACTTCTATAGATTTGATCAACTGACACAAGAAGCAAGATACTGTAGTTACTTTCATAAACTAAAATATATTTGGAGTGCAATCTTATTTTGCTTATGCAGACATAAGTCCACTGAGACTTATATTCATGTTCAATGGACAGCAGCCTTTAAATGAATATAGGGTTGCTATCTGAGGATATTTTATTTTTGCTTAATTAACCCAAAGAAAACTAGGAAACAATAAAAGTAATTTTGTTCTATGTATATCGTTTGGTAAATGGTTCATTCTAAAATCTGTACCTAAATGTGATATCTTTTCTAGTATTTTAATCATAACATCAGAATAACAGATGCTGTATATTTATTTTATGTCTGTAAGACCTTAAACAGTATAGCCAGTATTTGGAGAACACTATTTTGGCCTGAACTAGAACAGAAACATTTTTGGCAGCACTTTTGTACCAATAGAATGAAATTTCCAGTGCGAAGTATCATTCAGTGCTACCTTTTAAACCTAGTTTGCTCCTGCAAAGCATATTTATTTGATTTACATTCTGCTTTTCATTCAGGGATCAAAAGTGCTCTCTCCTTCCATTTCCACCCACAACCGCCCTAGGAATATGATAAAAACATAAAAATTAGAGTTGTCATTTTGTTTTCTTTATGCAATAGAGCAAGCCCTGACAGAGCTCTGATATGTGGAAGTTTCATTTTTTTAAACTGCTCTGTTAGTCAAAAGCAGTTGACGAGCACTGAAGTATTTTGAATTTTCTGGGCATATTATAGAAACACTGCAATGTACACAAATTACTTTTTTTTCAAATTCAAAAACAATTTTATTTAACATTTCGCATTTGAACACATTTAAAATAGCATACTCTTTTATTTAAATATGAGTGACAGTGCTTTACAAATGTTTCTTAAATATTTTTAAGAAAATATTTTGGTCTTCCATTTAAACAATAAATACAGGCACTTCTACATATACAAGGACAGCAAATGCTGTTTGAATTGTCAGATATAACACATATGAAGATATAGCAACATAGTGATTTGAGACTTTTAGAATCTATTTCTTCTGAAGTAGACTCAATAACCTTAAGGATTTTGTTAAAATTGGTACCTCAATTATCACCATTTTCATGAGATTCTCACTGACATTAAATTTGACCTTTTAAATGCACAGTCCCATATTAGAGATGTTTCTACCATCATCAACTAAAACATTATTCAGTGAACTGATAAAGCAAATTGGACTTGAAGGAGGGAAACTAAGCTGCAAAACCCCCTCTTTAATTATGGTATTATTTAAGTTATTATGGAAGTTAAGTTGGGAAAATAAAGAGTCTGAGCTAATTTCTCATCTCAAAAAAGATGATGGAATCTATCATAACTTAATTACAGTATCAGACTAAGATTTATTGAATATAATTTGACTAATCAATCTTTAAAATTACGTTCATCACAACTTTGGAAAGCTTTAATTTTTCAAAATGTTAGGACAGAACTATAATGAGAATATTTTCATGCCATATTTTCTGATGTGCACACTTGTGGTTGTAATCTCACTTTTAGAAGTACTAGACAATGTTACTAGCTAATTTTGGTTTACAAAACAAGCCACCAATTGAAGATAGTATGCTTACCATTTAGCCAAAAAATTTTAAACTGAAATTTAGGAATAATTTTTGGACACATACATATTTAACAACTTAACTGTGGATCTTGCAAGTTCGTCCAGATTTTAATCATTTCTTGAGGATTCCGGTTGTGGACTAACATTAGGTTTGTATAGGAGCAAATATTGCCCCTTTGTTTCTCTTCAATGTCAAATGTTTTGAAGCCTTTGTGTTTTTCTGGAGAAAGCCCAAGTCTCTGAAGGCACATGCCAATGTACACATCATCGATAGGATAAAGAAGGACTTGGTCAGATATGTTAGCTAATCTTAATGCCAGATCACCAGAATAAAGAAATCCGCCGCCTCCTGCGTATGGAGGATAAGAACCTTCATAAATACTGTGTGGGATATAGTATTTCACATTGGTATCCCGATGAGGTCCAGCATCACGGATAACATCACCTACGAACAAGTCTTTGGCTTTTTCTTTAGTTAAACTTTTCAAGTAATCCAGGATCTGATGGGTATTCACAAAAACATCATCATCTCCCTTGAAAACAAACTGAGCTTCTGGGCAAGTGTTACTGACCCATTTTAGAAACAGGACCTCTTTCAGAGTCAAATTGAAGAAAGTATCTCTGTAGTTCCACAGAAGTATGTCTTGGTGGGTTTCGCTCTCAAATTTCAACATACCTGACAGATTGGGATAGTTATCTTCAGGAGGAATTTGACCCAATAGGAAAACTCTCACAACAGTTATGTCTCCTAATTTAATTTCCTTCCCCCAAGATTCCCGGATTGCTTGCCTTCTATCAAAATGTGGTATGAGTGATTTAATAGCCAGAAGCAAAAAAGGTTTATGCTTGCACTTGTGTGGTTGATCTACTAATAATGAATAATTTCTACATCTTAAATAATGAAAAAAGTCTTTAAACCTATCTGGTAAGCCTTCAAAATCTTTAAGATCTGAGGATATAGATGGATCAGGATCACAGGAGTTCAAAAAGCTATTATTGGAAGATAGCCTTTCTTCCACAGTCATATTGAAAAGCAATGCAAAAATAGGATTATATAAGTGTTCCAACTTCTCTTGCTGTTTATTCCAATATGCCTTGTGAGGAATATACTTTCTCCAAAATCTGCTCCTTGGGAGTATAACTTGTCGTTTTGAATTTTTCTCTTGGCCACTATTTTTTGAGACTTCCACAATGACGTATATAAAGAAATTTACCATCATCAGAATTCCCAGCAATTTTAATCTTCTGCGTCCAACAATCATGTCTCATATCTGGAAAACATTTAAATCAGAAAAATACTTATTAATATAACAAGATTTGCATAAATAGTAACATAGTAGAATAAAAAGCTTAGCAAATTAAGATCTCATCTTCAACAGAATATTTATTTCATATTTCAACAGAATATTCCTCATTTAGCAACTACCTCATTTAGCATTTGCAGTTATAACAGCGATGAAAAAGTAACTGGCTGGAAAGCAAAGAAAGCTGAAGTAAGCACAGGGGTGGTTTCACATAGCAACTGCTTCACTTAATAACCAAGTTGCTAATCCAAATTGTGGTCATTAATCAAGGACTACTTGTATTCCACAATACAAAAAAGTCAGTGGAAGTCTATGAACAAAAGAATTGATATCACTTAAGATCCCTCCCTGCAAGAAACATGCTCAGGGCTGTAAAAGAGAAAAGCTAGCTACTAAACAGTTTTAAGCAATTTAAAAATCTGCTTGGCCCACCATTTTTCTCTCACTAATAAGGCATATTACATGCTCAAAAATCCTGGAATTGGTTATGGAGCAAAAATCAGTTTACATAAAATTAATTGTAACTGTAACTTTGGACCATGTTTCAGTGCTGAAAGGCTTCACTTCTCTCCCCACCCACCCCCGAAAGCCACAATGAACAGGACAGTATCATCAATACTGTTGGTAGGTATGCAAGCTTCGAAAATATCCAGAAAATTCTTCCCCAAAGAATAACTTAATGCTTTTTAAAGCTGTAAATTTTAAGATATGGTTTGCAGTTGAATTTCAGCAGTGAGAATAGGAGAGGCTCTGGAAGCTGTCAAAATGGTTCAGACATCAGAGAGGATCTAATTCATTCATGTGATGTACGGTAGGAGTTTATTTATCTTTATACTTCTATAACACTATTCATTTGAGGTTTAAAATGCAATCCTTCCAGCTTAAAATTCTATCAATTAAAAAAGGAATTAGGATATTACCCACATTCCAAAGCTGAAAACAATTCAAACTAGCAGCATAGCTAAAATACTAGTGTGTGATTATTAGTAGAGTTTTATGTAACATGGAAGGGATTTTGAAAAACAAGTCTTGAATTATGCTAATTGTCAGTTATATTTTCTTTAAAAAAATATTTATGATCTGCCTTCTAGGTAAGACCATTTAAGAGAAACTCAAATTCAACATAACACAGAAAGACCAATAGCAAAAGTATAATCTTTCTCTGATACTAAGACAGATATTTAATTGTGTAACAGTTAAAGAGCTCTTCACAAAACCAACTCCCAATGTAGAAATGAAAATGGAGGCTGTCGTGGAATCGTTCTCTTGCTCTCAAAAGTAAACTTCTGAAATACAAAATAAATCTTTTAATATAGCATATTCATTTTACATACTTTTCTCCTGTACATAAAACCAAATGTAAACGAGAAAAGTTAGTAGGAATTCTCTAACACTGGTTGGTAACTGGTTGGTCCTAAGTGTCAATTTCAGTTTACTGGCCTCTATCCAGCCCATTACAAAGTCTGATAAACCCCTGAATTATTTCCCTAACTCTGATTACAAGAAGAGGCATAGGTGTCATTCCACAATCAATCTAAACTTCAGCTTGCCACAATTCTGGTTCCAATGAATATGAAACCATGCTATACATAGAGAGCATTATCAGGCCAAGTGCATTCCACAGCTCAAGATGGATTTAACCTCAGCAGTATTTGCTGAGCATCTCCATTCTCAGAATAGAAAGGTAGCTTTCGCATCTTCTATAATCTATGCTTTCATTGTCTGTAATTCTGAAAGCTAAGGTACCTTCAACTATAGGAAGAAGTAACAATGTATGAAAACAATTTTCTACTTTCTTCTTCTAAAAAAAGTGGGAACAAACTGCCACTGGCTTTAATTAAGAGTTGCTTCAATACCATTCTAATTCTAATGGCAGACAGTGAAGAGCAAGGCTCTTCAAACTTGGCAAGTTTAAGACTTTGGACTTCAACTCCCAGAATTCCTCCATTACTGGAGGAGGAATTCTGGGAGTTGAAGTCCACAAGCTGTCAAGTTTGAAGAGGAACTAAAATGTCTCTTGATGAGGGTGAAAGAGAAAAGTGCAAAAGCTGGCTTGAAACTCAACATTAAAAAAGACCATGTCATCTGATTCCATCATTTTCTAGCAAATAGAAGGGAAGAAATGGAAGTGGTGATAGATTTTATTCTCTTGGGCTCCAAGATCACTGCAGACAGTGACTTCAGCCATGAAATTAAAAGATGCCTGCTCCTTGAGAGAAAAGCTATGGCAAATCTAGATAGCATATTAAAAGCGAAGACATCAGCTTGCTAACAAAGATGTCAGTGTAGTCAAAGCTATGGTTTTCCCACTAGTAATGTATGACTGCAAGATTTTGACTCTAAGGAAGGCTGAGCACCTAAGAATTGATGCTTTTGAATTGTGATGTTGAAGAAGA